ATAGATGCAACGGAGCATTAAGATTGTCCCTCATCCTATAGGGCTACAATGGTCACTAAAAATTTGATGGGAGAAGTAGGAGAGATCGCTGGAGCAAGAACTTTATTTGCATGAGGTTTCTGGATCATGCTTGAACCCATCATCAGAGAGAGCATCTCAGAACCTTACATTTAGATACCTTGAGGAGGGAACAGAGTGTGGAGTGCATGAGTACGTCCTGGAGGCCCTGGGAGCCTGAGATTTTAACTCGCGTTAGTTGCCATTGAGCGCTCGAAACAAACACTACAGTACTATAGCCAAGACTCAGGCCTTATCGGCTAGCATTGGGGACTACTAAAAGTTGTATAATGCAATATAATTCAGTATACTATAGAGTAACAGACATCACTTTCAAAATCGCTACGGTGTGGGGCGAGTGCACACAGCCTTGGGGACCAAGGTTTTAATCGCCATCCCCACCAAAAATCGACATCTCCAGTCCTTCAGCTTTTGTCTGGAACATTTCTTGGTTGTCAATTAGATGCACTTTTACAGGCAATCTCAGGACTTCTTGATTGGTGGACTAGGAAAAGGACGGAACAATATCCCCACGTAGCAATGCTTTTTTTTTCTACGCCCAATTCTGCATACAAGGTGCGCATGCTGCCAGCCTCCAAACTCTCGGCCAAAGCCCGACCAATTGGAAAAGGCCTCGATAACTGTTGTTGGGCGACTTCTGAATTAAGGCGCAAGCCTACTGTAAAAGTTCAAAAGCAGCAGGCAAGCAGAAGTTCGCTTATTTAGAGCTCATTTGGCAGATTTTTACGACTGTACTATTATCTTTACGATGAAGAGGGAGGGAGAATGAGTGAGAGCAAGAGGTGTGGTAACGATTGGCAAAGAGGCCGGAAGCAGATGAAAGAGCAGGCGGTGTTTGTTGCGCACAAAAGAGAAACTGCTAGTGGACGTGAAAGCCTGAACAACGGTCACTGGAAAAGTGGTGGTCAAGGAAGTTTTACTTAAGATGGACAGGCGGGCAATGAGTGCAGTTTCGAGAAGAGGGACGCAACTGTTAACCTTAATTATGAATACCAGACACGACGCCTGATTGTTAGCAGTAGAACAGAACTCAGCGAAGGTTACTTTCGAATAAAGATAACTTTACTTTTTAGCGAATAAGCGATGATGCGACAGTGGTAGCAGGGCTAAGGAGATGAGAGAGAGAGGGGGTAGGGAGCTGAATAAATGCCATATAACATCATAATAACAAAGTTTACGGAGTGAGCGGCGACGTGACAACCGCAAACTGCCACTACGCGGGTTCGCTTTTGTTGCTGAGTCTTCGTTGTTACAGCAGAAATAATAAATCCGTGGATAAGACAGTACATGTAGGCAGGTGTACAACCATCGAATCTGCAATTGTGAGTAAATTTTCTGTGATTAAGAAAATTAAAGGTGAATAAAGTGACTAACCTTAAGGCCATATTTGATCTTCAGTTCGTCCAGCTTCGACCGACGCAGAGCTTCCTTCGACAACAAAGCTGGAAAAAAAGGGAGGGGATGGTGAAGGGTAGATAAGTATGAGTTCGACTCGGTTTGATTGTTGGCTGAACTGAGTGACAGGAGGGCGATCGCAGAAATTCTTGCATAGCGAAAACAATGACATACTGTAGCGGCCCACTAGGACAAAGTGACTTTCCTTGTACAAATACGTGAGGCGGTGAATTCGGGTTCTGGAGGAGATGGCGTAAGTGGTCCGCCGACGCAGTGAAGGTGTAATATTGTTGTCCCCCGCACCGTGGTTGCAGTCTCCAGCTCCAAATTCCCCCGATTGTCGTTCGGGAGCTTATGCGTATTTGTTTATAGACTTTTCTATGACCATCTCCTGTCTATTCGAATAACCCCTTAGTTAATAACATTTCCATTGACTTCCTACAGCATTGGGCGTCTGAAATGGCTAACGGAACTTCCGTTGCATTTACAGTGTATAAATTCAACCAGAAGACAGCGGACGCAGACGATCACCTGAGTACCGACCCTAATCAGAAGGAAACTACACTATACAAGAGCCCCGTGTGCTCGGGTATAACGATACCCTGTGCAAAAATTATGTGTTTCTTCAACACCGTACAGCAAATAATTTCGATCCCGACAGTGTTTGATAGGGAATGAAGTAGTTGGAAAAAATACATTGACAAACCATACCGAAGCTGAAATTCTGAGGACGCAAGCATCAAAAAAGACAGCCGAGAACAAAAGTTGCGAGCTTCCGAGGGCACTTATGATAATCAGTGAGGGTGCAGGGAGGGAGTACGAACACAAGCGTTTTTTTCAACAGAGAGATCTGCCAAACCCTCCTAATAAGAGAGAGCTATGCCAACGCTGGCTTACTCTACGCTCTCTGTCGCTCTCTCTCTCTGTCGCTCTCTCATAACTCTAACAGCATTTCACAATCCATGACATAAAGTAGGCCTGCACGTCAGGAAAGTACCCTCTCTGTTTACCTTTCACAAGCGCCTCACCTCTTGGCAACATTAAATTTTAATAAAGCGAATGACGCGAAAAAAGCCGTGAGAACTGTGGTCTACAAAGGATTATCAATCACGCTATTGCTAAATGCATTCTTATGGTTGTTTATATTTCCCCGGAATGCACATGAGAACATCACGGAAGCCCTAAAATGAAGCCAACCGGTACCATCATTCGGTGGCCAGGAGTCCCCCCCCCCTCCCAAAGATGTTGCATTATCGTAATAAAAGAGGCATGCAGAACGTTGACGGTTATTCCAGTGACGGCTTGTTTCGAAAAGGGCAACAGATCCACCTTCTTAAGCATTGCAAACGGTTCTCGTATGCACGGTACTGCTAATATTACAGCGTAATTTGCAGCTGAAGGATTTACCAATCCTAATCGAGTAG